AGAGAGAGAGAGAGAGAGAGAGAGAGAGAGAGAGAGAGAGAGAGAGATTGTTCTCTTGCTCTCTTACTCCACCTCATGGCAGCGGCACCAGCCATGCTCTCCAGGGCGGCTGCAACTGATCTGTCCTCCACCCCTCTCCACCTCAGTTTCTGGCTGCAGCACCAGTGCATTGCTCAGCCTCCTGCTCCATTACAGTGGCAAGCAAGGAGAAGAAGAGGCAAAGAATGAAGAACGAAATGAGGGGGTGGAGGGGGTGGAGCATGAAACAAGTCAGGGAGTGTGGAGCTGCCCCACCCGCCCCACACTGGCTTACCTGAGGTCCCTTCAGCCATGCCAGCCATGCCAAACCCTCATCCCCCATCCCCAGGGCAGCCACATTCCTTCATTTATCTGCTTGCCAGCTCTGTTTGCCGCCGCCGCATGCAACACAACAAAAGTAGGCTGTGGGACTATGGTAAAAAATAATAATAATTCAGACCTTCTGACTTCTCATGAAAAAAAAAAGATTTCACGAGGTTGGAAGGTCTGAACTATTTTTTTTTTACCGTAGTCCCACAGACTACTTTAGTTGCCCTGCATATGGCAGTGGAGTTCTAGACCTGTGTGCGCATGCACCCGCTGCCTCCTGTGCTCACGCAAGCTCACCTGGATTGTATAGGCCTGGCCAAAGCAATGCAGGGTGGCCCCTTAGTTTCCAGGGTGGACATGCAGGCCAGATATGATCTCATCACAGTCTGGTTCTGGCCCATGGGCCTTGAGTTTGACACCCCTGTGCTAGATGGATCTCCTTAGGAGAGGAAGGATACATAGCATTTCCTGCCTCCCCACTCTATTTAATAGATATGCTATATACTCTATATGTATGTATATGTAGATATATAACATAATTTTAAATCTGAATTATTTAAAATATACCTTCATGCAAACATTTTTTTCTTATAATACATTTTACTATATTTACAAGGCAATAAGCAAATAATAAAGTGAAAAGCTGCTAGTGAAACATTATTTCACACAAACAAGACATGACCAATTTTAAGTATGAATTACCACAGTTGAACCTAGGAGATCCTTAAACTTTATTAGAACTTTCTTCTCTGCTTTTCTTCTCTGCCTCAAATAAACACTTCTATGATTGAGACAATATTTTATTACTATGCTTGTTTCTAATACTGGGGAAATTGGTTTGTTCTCAAAATCAGAGAGGATAATATCCATATCTGAAAAGTAAACTCAAAGATTGCTCCTTAAAAGAACTAGCTTGTAAACAGATCCAACATTCCCCCAAAAAACAGTTTTCAATAAAACACATAATTTTATATTGATTTTATCAGAACCATTTCCGAAACCATAGCAGTGAGTCACATCAGACTCAGTCCTGCAAACAAGATTAATTTATTGACAATTTCTTATATCTATAATTTATTATATAAATTAAATGTTTGTTTTCTTCTAAGCATTTTAACATTACCTTTCAATATTCCTAAGCACAGAAATATTTTCTCTGAATAATATTAATTAATAAAATTAATAAACATATTACAATTGACCTATGGATTCAAACACCTAAAAATTTCTGCCAAAGCTACATTTCTACCTAATTCCAAAGTTAATACATAAAGACTCTCTACTAAGCTACAAAAACTCATTTTTTTATTTCAAAACCTAATCTGATTCATAAATAGTATCCCCAATGAATACATAGTATTGCATTAGTTCCCCCCCCCCCCGCCAAAATGTTATATGATAAAAGGAATGATCATTTGGAAATGATCACTTATTACTTTTGTTATTTTGTATTCATTTGGTTTTGCATTCATTTTTTACAAAATTATTCAAGAGAGGAAACTAACACAAACTAAAGCTATACAGGTAGTCCTCAACTTATGACCACAATTGAGCCCAAAATTTATGTTGCTAAGGGAGAAATTTGTTAAGTGAGCTTTGCCTCATTTTACGACCTTTCGTGCCACGTTTGTTAAGTGAATCTCTGCAGTTGTTAAATTAGTAACAAGATTGTTAAATGAATCTGGTTTCCCCATTGACTTTGTTTGTCAAAAGTTTGCAAAAGGGGATCACATGATCCTAAGACACTGCAAGTATCATTAATGTGAGTCAATTGTCAAGCATCTGAATGTAAATTACGTGCCTATGGGATGCTGCAATGGTCATAAGAGTGAAAAATGGGCATAAGTCACTTTGTGCAATGCCATTGTAACTTTAGATGGTCACTAAGTAAATTGTTGTCAGTTGAGAACTATCTGTACTGGTTGAAAGCCTCCTTAAATAACAGCTATACAATATGATTTATTCTTTAGTTACATATTATTTTTAATATAAAATGAATATTTTTCTTACCTTAGAAAACTGTGCATTTATCCATTTTGTGAATGTTTTCTTTTGAACATCTTCCCTTTCATCTATAAAAGAAAGCACAATTGTTCACTTAAAATGGTTATTAAAGAAGTCATTTCTACACTATTTTGCTGTTGTTCAATATTATTATTAGCACAAGTCTCAAGAGATGCAAACTATATTTCTAGAAATTTTTAAAAACTTTTTAAAACTATCAAATAATCTCTAATTAAACTAAAAGGGCTACAATATCAAAATGCTTAATATCTCAAAATCAGGTCAGATTAGTTCTTACTTGGACTATCAAATCCACCCAACTATTGGAAGGAGACAATAGAAATACTTTGATGCCTACTGTCACAAAACTATATATGGATGATCATAAAGTGCAAATATTTCATTAGCTATTAGGGCATATCAAAATATAAAACAAAAACAGTAATAAGATCATAGTGTAATAATAAAAAATATCAATAAAATAAATGCGGATACTATTCTGACCCCTAAAATTTACTCCAATCAGATTCACATATGCATTTCTCAACTGTACTGTTTTGTTCAGACAAAGGACCACATTATATATTATTTTTTTATTCTGGCTGCATATGAAATATATTTTAATATAATCTCAATATTGTATCTCCATATAATATTATGTAATAGATACATGTTAACTAGAGACACAGGGAGTTTGGCCTATAAATTTAATAAATAATCATTATGTCACATAATCAGCCAGATGTTTAGAGTGGATCTGGCATTTTTATCCACTCACTGAGTTCTTTTCAAGGACCTGGGATAGGCAAATATTGTTTCTGTTAATGGTAATGCTGTAATAATGTAAGTACTTCCAAGTAAAGATGACTTTTGCAATTGATTCATGGTAATTTTGTTGAGCCACCCTGAGTTGCTTAAGATAGGCTGCCATATAAATGTTTTACATAAATGAATGGAATGGAATGGAATGGAATGGAATGGAATGGAATAGAATAGAATAGAATAGAATAGAATAGAATAGAATAGAATAGA